AATAAATGATACAATACAAACAAGGGATCTATTCTTTTATGCCGTTTGTGCAGGAGTTACTTCTGCAGTTATAGTGAATTTGGGGCGTGACCAATTCTATGTTATTTTTCAATGATTATTTTTTCTGTAATTAAAAGTGAAATAATAGGATGAGAGATTAAAACATTCCTAGTTTCTCTTCATAATGCAACTTGACAGGAACTGCCCAAAAAAATCATGAAATATTTCGCCTAACCTCAGTGTAACAAAGAACTCGATTTTTTTCTCATTGCATGCAACCAAATGACGAAGGAAGTTCCTACAAAGACCGCGACAAGGAGCGACTCTTGCACGGTAAATCACGACTAAAATGAGCCGCTCTCTCGCTTACTACCAAGAAATGATCATGAAACATGATTATATCAATTAATAGCAACAACGAATTTTTGTCCGGGGAAGAAAAAGATCACTAACCGCTCACCTGCAACAAGCAGACTTGCGACTTGACTCTCCAAGTATAAATGAAGCAGCTATTTTGAATCGTAATAAATAAAGCAGCTTCAATGAATCCTAATAAATGAAGAAGACACAATGAATCGTGATGAAGAAACCTGTTCCAAGTATAAATGAAGCAGCTATATTGAATCGTAATAAATGAAGCAACCATAAAAAACCGTCATGAAGAAAACGGCTTCAATGAACACTAATTAATGATGCAGCTTCAATGAATCGTAATAATGAAACTGCTTCCATTAATGAAAAAAGTGATGCTTTCCTAATGAATCGTAATAAATGAAGCAGCTCCAAAGAATTATTAAAAAGAAACTTAATGAAGAAGACACAATGAATCGTGATGAAGAAATCTGCTCAAAGTATAAATAAAACAGCTATATCGAATCGTAATTAATGAAGCAACCGTATAAACCGTCATGAAGAAAACAGCTTCAATTCAAAACACACATGATTAATGCTGCAGCTTCAATGAATCTTAATAATGAAGCAGCTTCCTTGAATGAAGACACGTGGAGCTTTCTAAATGAATCGTAATAATCGAAGCAGATCCAAAGAATTATTACAGTGAAGCTGCATTCATCAATGGTGATCAATGAAGCAGGCTAAATTAATCGTAATAAATGAAACAGCTCCAATGAATCGTAATGCATGAGGCTGATTCTATGAATACAGCAATTGCATGTAGAGAAATAATGAAATGAAAGCCATGTACGCTCAAAACGTAAGCGAATAATTTCATGCTAATTTTGTAGAAAAAAGATAATTCAGCATGAAATAATATATTTGCGTAAATAATATTGACAAAATTTATACAATGACATCTTGGCCAAAATGCGTTATCTTCCAAAATTTACTCTCAAATCTATAATAGCATAAATTAATGGTGAACCGATGTTCTTCAACGATTCAATTATTTACAACTCAGGAATTTTTCCAATTGAACCCATTCTTTTTGGATCACCAACCAAATTATTATTCCCTTATATTATTACCAATACTTGGACTAATAATTTCGATGAATATAAATAATATTATTGCTAAGAAGAGCTGGAGACATGAGCGTTAATGATCATTTGCGTTTCATAAACTGCATGAAAGCAAAACTAATGTAACTTGTTCGATGAAAGTGTAGCAAGCATTATTCTTGGGTGCTGCATAAAATAGACTCACTGAAGTCAAAGGTTTTCACGACTCGCTACTCTAATTTTGCGGTAATATGAGTCTCCACAGGAACATAAGATCAGACACACATGATTGTTTTATTTTAATCATTCAATTTATTAATTAGTGGTTGATGATCCCCCAGTTAAGCGGCCTAAAGAAAATTACGGAAAATCCATTAACCATTTTGCAATCGCGGCATAATTTTTGTTACGGGAGTTATTAAGGGTAAACATGTATAATCAGGACTTGAACGCTGATCTTGGCACGCAGTTCTCTTATTTCTGACTCAGGATGCTAAATTATATAATGCAGAAAATTGTTCGTCAATATTCTTACACGCTTGTAAAACAAAGTTCCATATTATCGATGGGCAAGGTTTGTTTTAGAAACCTAAGCGAAATTCCGATCGAGATTTCCTTTAAAATTCTGATCATCAATGCCACACGTCATCACGAGTGCCCAATGCCCATGGCAACAACAAATAAAAAATCTAGACCTAAATCCCCAGCCCCCATTGGACCATGTGTAGCTCGACGCATCCCGTATCGTCACTGATTCTTTCGTTTAAAAGTTCATGGCGTTAGAGGGTCGTGAAATGCAAAGCTCGGTGACGCAACCATTTGTTACAATGGAGCTGAACGACCACATCCTCTTTTTCAGAGATCATTTTTATGGCTCTATTACCACTACTGCTGGGAGCGGCGGCTTGCGACATAAAGGTTCGAACACAAGTGTTGCTCGGCTGCCTGTACATCTATAACGATAATGTTGGGTTCAGAGGCCTACATTTATTATGCTTTTGATTTATGTACAGAATACAAGGACTGTCGGTGACGATATAAACCTCAACGACACTGAAAAATAACACCGAATAACAAAAATATAGCTATAGACACTGAAATAAAAAAAATAAGACACTGAATATAAACCTCAAAGACACTTTGTAAGTTATTTGCTGTGTGAAGAATCCGGAAATGAAAAGGTATCTGAATTCTACTACGTAAATTATCGTTAAAGTTGCCATTTTATTCGTCTCGAACAAGTCTTGCAATCTTAGTTTGCAGAACAATGATGTACAACACGTACATATTCTGAAGTTCCACAATAACTTTTCTCATGGATTATATCCTCATTTCGACAAAATCCTCCGTCGAATATTATACGCATACAGCTAAAGGAGATATTAGTTTTACCAAGTTAACATTAAACAGCATTACCAGCGCCACTAAATGTGTCTGTATCTGTTCGAAATACAGTAATTTGCAGCAACCTTCATGAGCTTAACAAGCTACAGCAAAAAAGCAAGGCATGGCCGTAAATTTTCGAAGCCGTTACGGTTGCCGGCCCGGATGCGCTCAAAAGAGGATGGCGACTTTACGATTACTGAACTCTTTGTTTGTAAGGAAGTTAACACTTGGCGCGGAATTTGGTCAGCTTTTGAGCTGCTAAAGCTTTCTTAGTCCGTTAGATTCTCGCAATATTTATCCTCGTCGTTATGTTTACGGATTTGTGACACCAGCCAAACAAGCAAGTTTGCAGCTCGGAAGAGAACGGGTGAGAGTAATAGTCAACTATGAGTTATTTTACTTGATAATATTAATTAAATTGGATAATTGTTTTCTCTACTCAAACAACTTACTCATTAAATTTAGCAATTATTACGTGCCTCTTGACATCTTATGAAATTGACGCAACGTTCCCTTGACTGAGACCAAATTTTTCTAGTTCTATATTCTTCATCAATTTAACCACACTATTAGCATAACCTAATTGATCCTAAAGTGCCCTCCTTTTCTTCTTTGAGAGGGAGTTCCGGCAATTTAAGTTTTATTGGAATGAATTTTCCCATGATAGAGATAGTTATCAAAGACATGAAACATACCAAATCGAATACAATTTTTATCGATAGTTTTACAAATTTGTGAAAGTGATTAGCATATAAAAATATTTTGAGGAGAAAACAACGTCATATTTAAAATATTCCTAGTAACTTTCTTCATTTAACTATAACAATAAGAAGTATTAATTAGTTATGTTACGAAACATATGTTTTGGCGGGTTCCATAGTCCCGAACTATTGTCTCCGCCATATGGAGACTTAGAACGCACTGAGGAAAGTTTTCTTGAGACGCGTGAACGGATTAGTTTATTGTGTCGGCAGAAAGTTAGCATTGCACATGAAGTCCATAATACTCCATTCCATCGACCGCTATTAGAACCTTGTAAGTAAAGATATAGGAGGCTAAGATGTCGTCCATTGTAAACCTAAAATAATCTTGGCGTGAAATTTATACTTGGATCCTTGGACGTGTTAGACGTGTAATTTTGTGCCTGTATATGTATCAAGTACGTCTTTGTTGTTCTTTCAGTTTACAAGTTGCAAGTAAGGAAATGAATTTCTTGGTTTCCTTTGCCCAAACTTCGTTGCCTGCCCGAAAGAGCTCAATCCAAAAGTGCTTACGCGGAACATTTGTCGGAAATTCTTCAAAATATATTAACCATAAATTTGTTTGAAAAAATAATGCAGATAATATTATCTAGAAATGATTTACTTTACTTAGTGAATAAATTCACAGGTGGCCGACCACTCAATACGTAGGCATTAAACGCTGCAGTTAATTAGTATATATCATTCATTCGTTAGCTGATATGGAGTAGTGCGCCGTGCAATTCATTTTCAATTTTTATACACGGTGGCTCCTGAAAGCTCTGCATAGTACGGATCGTCATATTATAAAGAGGAATGAAAATACTCATTATGATGATATTTTACTGACAACGTTTTTACACAAGATGGCTTTTCATAATATACACGGCAGTGACGTATAGCTGCCAACTTACATGTACTCATATGATGATATTTTACTGACAACGTTTTTACACAAGATGGCTTTTCATAATAAACACGGCAGTGATGTATAGCTGCCAACTTACATGTACTCAAAGGTTCAATAATATCTTGTTAGTTGCTTAACTATAGGTCACTTAAATAAACGTTTATTTGACACGGCAATTCCGATTAATAGTATAAACTAATCATTATTCAACTTGTTCAACAATAAGTATAGTACAAATTCTCCCACGCAATAGAAAACATTTTCGTAAGTTTTCATCTATTCTAATAAGCCACACCGACGTGCGGCTTTGAATTTTAAGCCGTAAATTATCTGATAATGATTTAGCAATACGCGTATTTTGATTGCGGTTTTAGCGGGCGTTTTGCTTAGTTAATTTTTTGCGTTGCATTCATTGAAATTTACGACGAATTTCTCTGGAATAAATAGATTTTCACATTGGATTTTCAAATAAAAATATTTCATAACAATATAGATGAGAAAATAATGGATTAATTATATAATCATTGAATGAATATTATTCTCATGACCTGCGAAGAGTTAAACTCTGGATTTGACCATAACAGAGACTTTTTACAAAATTTCTACAGAATTTGTCAACTATTGGATCTGAATTTTTTTAAATAGGAATTTAAGTGACGCTTTGTGTTGTGCAGTCTGCATGCGCGTCAACAGTGACAACAAGGTATCCATTTTTATCTTGAAAAATTTTCTGACGAAGAATAAACGTTGAAGATAGAAAAGGGCCTAGAGAACGGAATATAAGTCACCCAAATGCCTGTTAATCAAGTGAAACAATTCCTCAGAAAACGGTGAGTTTGTTGGGAACAGTGCACCGGCCTTGCCTTGTTCATTAAAATTTGCACACAAATTTTTTCCCGAGATGCCAGATCAATTTTATATTTACAACCCTTTGCTTTTCTTAGCAAGTTGGGACAATTTTCAGCGCATTTATTTTGATTTTAAACTATTTGTTAGTATTTAATTTGTACACCACGCGCTCTATCCCTCAGGAGGTAAACTCTGCTCCGAGCGCAGTCAAAGATTGAATAAATTGTCCCTTTAAAGCTTTTACTAGATACATAAATTTTGATGAAGATATTTTAATCATATATTTTTTACACTCTATTGGTCATCTAGGTAATTTAGTTATAATAGAATTCTTATGTTTTCGCACGTTTTAATGATATATTTGGCTGTCAATTGATTCATGTCGGCAATCAATTTAGAATTATCTTAAAGATAATGTTAAAATTAAGATCTTCATTATAAGCTTAGCTTATTCTTATTTCAAAATATACAAACAATTCATTAATGTACAGTAAATTCAAACACTATCACACCTTAATCAATAGATTCGCTTTGATTCTCGGTTCGCATCCTCTCTATTCTCAGAATATCATAGAATTGATTTTTTTCCTTCACCTAATTGTTGTGGAAACGAAATTAAATTTACGAACAGCTGCAGAACTACAAGCAGCATGTTGTCCAGGAATTTAATATATTTAAATTTTTAATTTATCACACAACTTTCGGCAACAGAGTGAGCGTCATGTATGAAAACTATGATGAGATCAATATTGACAACATACGGCGAAATTTTTACTGGTAGGAAGTTTGTTACGCGGCGATCGTGTTGCTGGAATCCAAAGCAGCAACCTCGTCAATGGTTGCAATATTAGATGAAATTTTCCTAGGAGGGGCCCTGAAGGTGCTGGTGCTGGTGATGGGAGGGGTTCTTGTGTTTGTGATAGGGACCCTTGCATGAACTCGACTGATGGCCATGGGTTGGTAGGAGGATGATGGGACTTTAGTAGGGGTTGGGGACGGCGTAGTTTGGGTGGTGCGAGACACTGGACTGTCATTATTGTTGCGCCCAACTAACTTCTCTTGCCGTTCAATTTCTTCTTCTGTAGTGTAATACAGGGCCGATTGTCTTCGCACAATTATCACAGAGGCGACGACAACAACAAGAAGAGCCAAGACCAACCCGCATCCAACGCCAACCAGCAACGCAAGATGGTCCTTAAAGAAAGCCACAACCGAGTTTTGTGATTTGCGCAAATCCTTCTTGGACAGCTGGCTGTCGCTGCCAACCCCCATAACTCGTGGATGTTGTGAATGCGAACGAGAATCATGACCAAGCCATGCTGGCCATGAGGAAGGTTCTGTTGAGCCGCACTCGAGCAGCTCTTCTTGACGTAGCAAGACAAGCTCAAGCCCAGCCATGGGCGACGGACTAGTACATTTGAGACAGAGATGAGTGCCTTCAGGACTGCGACATTGAGCCGTGCTATGGGGCTGATGGGACGCAGTCTCGAGCCATGCAATCATGGCCGAAACCTGACAAGTGTCGCAGTGCCAAGGATTCCCTTCTAGCCTGATAGTGAGCAACGATCGCATGGCGATGAAAGCGGTCACTAGATCTTCAGACAAACCGCGTAAGTTGTTGTGGTCTAAATACAAGCTATGTAGATGAGGTACAGAGTACAACAGATGGTGTTGGAATTCTGACAACGCGTTCCCTGATACGTTCAGGACCTTGAGATGCCGGGAGTGTTGTAAGAAATCTTGGGGTAACTTAGAGAGTCCAAGATCACCGAGGCCAAGGAATCGTAATTGGCGGATTTGTCTCATGACTGGGAAAATATCAAGGAGTTGCAGGAAATTTCCAGATATAATTAACCTTTTCAAATTTGCGGCCACAGGAATTAAGGCTTGCAGAGCACTAGAGTGTGTGTTCACAATTTCGAATTCAGTCTGAGATATGGAGTTCAGCACTTCAGCGTCGGAGTTCAACAAAGCTTGAGACTTGACAGGCGAAACGTTTCCCACTTGCATAAGACCGAGTCTGTTGTATGATATGTCCACATGCGTGAGCAATGTGTTATTAGAAAAGGCTTGAGGATGAATAGATTTTATTCGATTAAAGGCAAGAGATAAGCCGAAAAGAGGTAAGCCAGATAAGGCATCGGCTGGTACGTGCGACAGCAAATTTCCCGACAGGATCAGCGTTTTCAAATTTTTGCATTTTGAGACAGCAGGGATTGATGTTAATCGATTATCACTGAAGTCAAGATGCTCCAAAAAGAGTAGATTGTCGAGCAGATCGTCTTCTACAACCATGAGATTGCATGACAAACATTTAAGTTCCTTCAGGTTTAAAACATCAGTAAACACCATGCCTGGTAGCACTCCAAGAGGATTGTGACTTAAATCCAACGAAGTAAGTGTGGATAACCCGAAAAAAACTCGAGGCACAAGCTCTGGCAGTCTGTTGTGTGCAAGATTCAAGCTTCTCAGTTGCCTGGCGTAACGAAAAACTGCTGATGGCATCGACTCGATTTTGTTGCGGCTTAAATCCAGATGTTTCAGTTCCTCGGGTCCACGGAAGTTTGCTGCTACCAACGAGGTTATCTCATTCCTTGAGATATTAAGTGTGTGCAAATATCGCAGACCCCAAAACGAGTGCTCCCCAATAGCGGGAACTCGGGACTTGGCGACAGTCACAATCTCGAGCTTCTTTAATCCTTTGAAAATTGGTCCAAGGGTCAGTGAATTGTGCATGCCGTCGGGGGCATCAACGATGAGAACCTCCGTGTCCAAGGGCATCTCCATGACAGGTAAGGGGTCTTTTAGGCCTCCTGTATCGCAAGTGACTTCCCGACGTCCTCGGGAGTCCAGAGCACAGGAGCAAAGTGTCGGGCAACTGCCGTAGCCGTGCACGGGGGAGGCGACCAGCAGCAACAACAGCATCACCCCGCACAGTGTCGCTTCAGTCGTCCTCTTCTGCACCATCTGCACAGAGAAAATATGGAATCTATTAGTTTTGTATAATATTAAAAGGACCGAGTCGTCACTGCTATAGTGAACTTGTGAAAATTATAGGTATGAAAGCATCCGTCTGCCCATCACTGTAATAACGAAGTTTATTGACTTGCAAATCGAGATTTAAGGGTAATCTGTGAATTATAATTAATACAAATATTCAAAAATTTAACTGAGAGATTAATTCTGCTGCAAATTGCAACATATGTTAAACGAAGATGACAACCTAATAAATTTGTCCGTTTCAAGTTTTCGAAGAAGTAACAAACTAAAAGAAGTGGCTTTTATTTCTCTAACCGCCTTTCATATCAGTCAGAAAATTGTGAAGACAATTTTCCTAAATACAGCTGCAATACATGAAAAGCACATGAATGAAAAGCTGAAATGTATCATTAACGAACGAATCCGTCCCGTTTCGAGCTCAATGCGAACTGCAGCCTAATCCGGAACATCGCAAACAAAAGTGGGCCTAAAGGAAAGCCGGAAGCTTTTTCTGCGCGCCGAATGCCCACAAAAGGATTCTTCTTTTGTCCCAAATCGACCAAACAGCTCGAAAATCATTCAATAACTGGCCGACGTGTCGCCTTTGTCGACCTTTCAAATAAACGACTAGCGGTGCCAAGGGAACCGCCAGCAACACGCTGGCCGTAATGGGCACACGCACATTTGTGCGTGTCATTTGAATTTTAAGTGGAGCATGCTATATATAATATGTTCAAGCAATGTAAATGGTGAAAGCCAAGAAATTCGTTATAAGAATGAATCCAGTTAACAGCAGAATTATTCACGTGCAAAATTTGACCATCAGCCTCACGATCAAAATAATTGTCCTAACCACGAGTGAGCTACATAAAAATATTTAAAGAAAGTTTAACAAATAAAGAAAAGATACATGCTGTGCACACCAAAAATTTAGAATATGGTAACAGGAAGCTTGGGACGCCATCTGTTGATGGGTTCTAATGAAGTGATCTTATCAGTGGATAAATACAATCAAAATTCATGTCGTAACATGAAATTTTCGATAACAGTATAGTTCAATGGTTAGGCCAAGTCAAGCTATAAGCTAAGTCTCAGGCTTGACGAACAGATTGCGCTTGATTGTTTCGTGAATAGCATATCACCTTTAAGCGCGAGCTGTACAAGTTGAAACATTTAAGATGTGTACTTTTATAGTGATAGCGCAGTGTGGATAAAAGAAGAAACGATTTACCTAGCGTTGGAAACGAAAGAATTACTTTCCCATACATGTACATTCACTTATTCTCCGACGATTGAAGCATTAATACGCAAATCCTATGTTAATAAAATGCATCCCTGTAAAAGGTATGGGATTACGAAAAACTAAGTTGCGCAGGAGTGGGAGAATAATGCTGTAATTTTGGTATCATTAAGAAATTGCTTTATTAAAAAATAGTCCATCATAGCACAGGAGGCAGCAGACAGAACGTATTGTTTCACTTCGTCGTCGAATCATTCGTCAGATGAGGTGGAAATTAAATCTTTGACAAAAAGAACGATACATAGATTAAGTAAAATTTATAACCAAGATTTACGATTATTTATGAATTTATTTTCTTCAACAATATTTTTTAAAGCTGTACAAAATCAATCTTCAATTTTGATAAATATGTATCAAAATTTCGAGAATATCTTCAGAAAATATCAATTGTTCTCAATCCAAGTCTAAAATACCATCTTATTCTTCCACTTATTCATGATTTTTCACACATGATAACAAATAAAATACTGAACCCTCGTCCCTGCCGCCCGACATTTCCGCGGTCGCTTGTAGGCGATGCGGCACGCGAAGGCTACCGCGCCGTCCCGACCTCAATCATGAACTTGGCCACGAACTTCGGTCGTAAATTCACACCGAGTGAATGGCATAATATGCATGCAGCCGCATCCGTATTTGGGCATCAGCAAGTCTTGCGGTTGCGCGCGGACAAAACGGTTCCGAAGTTACCCTGATGTTAGGCGCAATTAATAGTAGAAAATGACTTCATAACTAAACTGAACCTTAAATGATTACTGATGTTACGACTCCATTTGATGCGCCGTAAGTATGTGTGCTTTACTCATCTGCTGTTGACAATTCCTTCTTTTAGTGATTACAATTAATAAGGAACCTCGCAAATGAGGCAACAATAATAAATATATACCCGTTTAATATGAGAAATTCTTCCATCACGCGCCCCATTTGCATTGATGGACTGCAATTATCTAAGCGGCCGCATTATAACAAATGCTGCAGAGATCAGAGATAAGCAATAAAGTGCGCCCCAGCGAGCTACGTATACTCAACATGATTACGATGGCCGAACATGATCATAAATCTACGAATAACAAGACTGTATAATAAACTGGGGCGTTCGAGATTAGAGTGAGAACTCTGAAACTTGGAGTAGATCGGTAGGTGCACATGGGGACGTACGAAAAGGATCGTTGGATGCACGAGTATGGTTGGTGGTTGGACGGATTTGGTGGTGGTTGTAAGAGAACGATTGGTGGATACATAATTGCGATTGGAGTATGAACAAGATTGGTTTCTTTTTGTGTAAGAAAAGTTTGTATATGGATGCATTGCACAGTATGGATGCGCGAAAATGGTCGGTGGATGCGCGAGACTGGTTGGTGAGTGAAAATAATTGGTAGGATAGTTTTAACAATCGAAAACCGTATTGCATCATTTCGAAACCATCGACTCGTAATTTTTTATCGGAGCAAATATTCTGTAGAGCAACATTAAAAGTACATGTTTGCGCGTTGATACGGAATAGCTTTCGTCAAAAGGCGCGAACGTATTTTACAAACAAGGAAAGATGAAAGAGTATCACAATAAGGCAATGATCGATAGCTCAGCTAATTAGAAGTCATGTAACAGCGGGAATACTAAATGCCCATGATGAGGGATAGTAAGTCTCATTGGTGATTCTTCTTATTTCATAATTTCAACGTATAAGGGGAAAAGTATTTTCAATCAAACAATTATGTATTTCTTATCTACTTATCATTCAAATTATCTAAAAAATTGAATCTTCTATCTAACGTAAATGGGCCCAATGAAGATTGAACTTAATTTATTGGAGTTATAATGCAATTTTATCTTGGTGGGGTTAAAAAATCGTCAATCAAGCGGACCTCGTCGGTTCTTTTCCGCCATATTTTTGGGACTTGGAGGCACTTGAGCGCACCCGAGACAAAGGCCCGACTTTCGAGTCCGACACAAAAGCGTTAAAGGGTCCAGTCAAGAAGAAGCCGTTCGACCAAAACTCCGGATACCTTAAATACACTTGGACACTATCCAAGTGAGTGGCTTGTGACGCTAAAACAGTGACGACGTTGGCCTACTTCTGTCGAAGAACTATTTGAAACGGATCCTGTTTCATTAGATTGTTGTTTAGAAAAATGGCTGAAATTGATTGAACAGATTTCACAAAAAAATTATAGTGACAATTGACAATTGTTATATTTATCCGAAGATTTCTGCTTATGGCGTGTTAAGCATAGATTTGACAGGCTATTCAAAAATATGTATCATTGACTGGCAACGCTTAACTGGTGAGATTGAACTTAAATGCAAAGTAGAAATTAATCGAAATCATTGATGCAATTTATAGAAAAATTTGTTTCGATAAATTTTGTTTAAGATGAATAATAGTATAAGACAATGATTTAATGTTCGAATTTTCAAAACCATGAAGAAGCTTCGCAACAATGGAAAGACTGCCATCCCTCAAGTAATGAGAGGATAAATGATTCATACGAAAAAATGTGGAAAGCCTCTTACTTAAAACATTTAAAGTATATTTATTAATATACATATGCTTATGCTCAAAAGTTTGAATAATTTCAGCAAGCGCAGAAAAATCCATCAAAATCATTGCAGCTTGAGTAAAGCAGGCCTGCAGATGCACATATATAAATATGAGATAAATATAATAATAAATTTATTGCTTTAAAACGAGATCATAATTTATAGGAAAAAATGACTTTCGATAAGTAAAACTACAATGATACCACTTTTTCGGAGCATCATTTCCAGCATCACACTCACAGACTGTAGCAGTGTGAATATCCCCGAGGCGATTGATTAAAATACATAGGCACGAATAGCACGAAGGTCGGTTGAGACATCGTAAATGTAATTGCCCAAGCCGCCTGAAGTAGCAGAGCTCATTCATCGTATTATTGAACCCTTTCACAGCCCTACCAATTGAAGGAATAACGTTACTACTGGCTGGCGAATTCGTCCTCTTGGGTGGCAAACGATGGATGGACATCCTCAGAGAGGCTCTAAAACATCGGAGCAGTAAATCAGGCTCAATTTGTACCTATTGCCGTGACTGACTTCAGATTCGGTGCCGCGGCAATGAGCGAAATGTGAGCGCGGATGTTCAACACATCCTACATGTTTCTGTAGCAACTTCGTGCAGAAGAGGAAAAATTTAAATGCGTGTTAGAGAAGAGCAACATTTCTTACGAATGAATCATAAATATAAACATCGGAGAGGTATGACACTCGGGTATAAGCAGGAACATTTATGTGCAAATAAGTCTTAAAAATATAACTCAGTACTCACTGCAGTGAGTGACAGAGAGCGCATTTTCTGGTCGACGAAAACGTGAAGTCACGGGCGGACAGACAGACAGACGGACAGACGGACTGACAGACATGGCGAGCACAATTAATAGCGCCTTTTTTCCATAAATGAGAAAATGCGCTAAAATTGGGAACAACGTTCTGTGTGCTTATTTTCATTGCGAATCTGACGTAAATCCTATTAATCTCTACTGTGTAAAGTCCCAGAAACATATAATTTGCACTTGCTATAAGGATTCGCCGTCATCGACCATCCGCCGTCGATTATCCGGCAAACGTGGACGATGATTTTCATGGGATAATATGCGTTCAGTAAATCAGGCTAGCACACTTCCATAAATTGCATGATGCTCTGAATTTAGTT